CTTGGTTGTTTAAAATGTTCTTCTATGCTTAATGGGTTCCTAATGCTTAATTTTAGGTTAGACAACAAATGATCAAATTAGGGAATTAGGAACACAAGGTTATGACCACACACCATGGCTTAATCATACTTTAGCTAGAATCAATCCATTAATCTAATTGAACTTGGGAACTTATTTGCTTGAGTTACTTATTTCTTTCTTCCTTGTTTTATTTATTTCCTCTTTTTCATTTCTGTTTTGTGTAGGGAAACTAAATTGGATCATTCAATCACCAATCCCTGTGGAATCGACCTCGCACTTACATACGCTAAACTACCAACGGCTCGTGCACTTGCGAGTATCACAAGTTGAGGATGCAGCTTAATCCATTTTGGTGGAGCTAAATCTACGCAACAACTCTTCAATTCAATTAATGCAGTGTAGGTTTTTAGCATTTTCAATGTAGTTTTTGTTCTTCCAAAACATAATTAAATGTGAGTCAACATCAACTTATCAATTTTAAAGAGAGAGAAAGGGGTTGCAACTTTGGTGACTAAGTTTGACAAATTCGTTGGAGAGAGTTATGTTGATGTGGCTCACCTATTTTAGCATTCCAAATTTGTTAAGAGGCTGTTGAATGCTCTTAGTATTTGTTGAGGCCCAAAAAATCCAGGATTGGGCCCAAATAAATTCCCGGCCCAGTATGACACCTTATTAAGAAAAGACCCGGTTCGGAGCACGCGAAATTTGTATGCACGCTTGCACGAGCCATGACCACATGCCATGCCAAATAAATATGCAATCCGCCACGCTATAGCCTATAAAATGCACTGGTTCTACGAGCCCAAGCTAATTATCCAGTCAAGCATCATATCCCTTTTGAAAGACGATAAAATTAAAGCACCCCAATCGACATGTCATGCCAAGCAGGAAATCATTATTTCACACCCAACCACGCTTCAAGCTTAAGTGGGCACAAGCCACACAAATGCCCGAGGCTTGTTGAGTGGGTTGTGGCATGGATGGTAATGAACTTTCATGAGGTCCATTGATGAGCCAAGAAACGGAAGTTTTGGGCCGCTTGGGAGCCCCGAAACTCAAGCCCGTTTCTTGAGCCCAAATATATGAATAAGCATAAAAGAGAGGAAAAGGGAGCCCAATACCCTAGGAAATTAGCCCATCACCATAAATAAAATAGCCCATCATTCAAGCCCATTCCCTTGGTGGGCTGACCAATCACTTTAGCAAAAGCCCAAGTAGCCAAGAAAGTATCCATAGTCTCTAGCACTTAGCTGGAAACGTAAATCACGATGAAAGCCAAAGTGTTATGTCAGTGAGCTGCTGGGAGGCTCCAACACATGGGCTAAAAACGAACACCAAGGTGGAACACGCAAAGAACCAGGGGATATTAGAGCGCGTAGGAGCCAAGGCACCCTTCAAACTAGTGTACATACCCATTTCTTTCCCCTCATCATATCTAGCCATGGAAGAGGGGAGAAAAGAATGAAGAAAGATGGCTGAAAATGAGAGTCCCCCATTGGAACAGCTGCGGGAAAAGCCTAGAGCTCCCTAAACCATGTTTTTGTGCGATTGGGTAGAGAGAATTTCACCAAATAGGATGATTCAAAGGAAGAGAAGAGAAAGGGAGGGAGAGATTTGGCAGATTGGGGAGGAATCATCTAGGGTTTCTTGGGAAGAAGGAGCTTCCAGTGCCTATAAAAAGAGGCATTTCCTACCCATCATCTCAACACACATTCAGAGAGCAAGCTTCATCTCTCACCCTAAAATCTATGCAATTTGAAGCCCTATTCGTCCATCTCCTCCCCTTTTTCTCTTCTGTTAAAGCGTTCCAGAGTTTTCGTCAAGCTGTCGGAAACTACTCAACACACCCATTATACCCCCATCTCTCTCTCTCTCTCTTCAACAAACTCTCTTAGAATCCATTCCCCCTTGTCTTAAAACCCCTGTTTCTCATAGGAATTCACAGCCCTCTCTCTATTTATGCTAAACTCATGATGGTTTTGCTCCTATGCCACAAGCTTCTCATGTCAAGCTAAGAATCTACTTGTAAGCCATCGTTATTCTGTTGGTGAAGATAACCAGGGTGTTTCCTAAGGTTCTATTATCCTTTCGAAACATTCTTGGGGCCTAGTCCTTGAACTCGGACACAGGGGGTAATTTCACCCATTTTCGCTCTTTACGGCAGCCCAGCCCATATGAAGCTGTCAGAACGAAAAAGCCCCCACAGTATTACTATATATATTTTTGAATTTTCCAACTCGAATTTCATGACTCACACCTTGACTAATTAAATTTGTAAACATCTATTTGTTTCCTTCTTTTTGGGAAAAATGTTGTGCCTATGATGTCATTTAAGGGACACCAACAAATTAATAGACTTATATGAGAACCTAAACATCAAAATATCATAACCGTATTAAACACCGAATTTTCAAAAATAACATTTAGTGCCACTTTTTGTAAAGAATATGACGTGAAACCACTAAGAGGCCACTTTATTTGATGACATCTAAAATGGAATTATTAAGAATATGATAGTGGGGTAAATTGACTAGTTTTTATACTTAGATGGAGATTTCCATCCTTTTTTCCCATCTCACAGCCGCTAAGTCAGGAATAGACCTAAGTGTTATATTGTGGCAAAACTTATCTTGACTTTCTTCAAAACTTCACAAGGTTGGTCAAATGAAGATTTGATCTAGAGGCATTTCTAAAACAACTAGTCTTCATTTTGGTGGAAAAAACATGAACAAGAGTTGTAAATCATTGTACAAAGAACAAGCAATATTAATGATTTATGGAAGTAGAGTTTTCGCTTACAACTTTCGTTAATGTGAGTTAATTTGGAAGTAGAGTTTTTTTGCTTATGTTTGATTAGGTTTAAATATGGTGAGTATGGTGTCACAATTAAAATTACATTTGT